TCACAATGGTACTGAAGGAATGGGACGTGACGCTCTCGCGCCGAGATACAGAGGTTAAGGAGAGTTATCAAGGAAAGCAAGCCTATGCTGCCATGGTACAAGCGCGGGAGAACATGCGTCCGCTGTTCAAGAAGCTGGAAAAGTTTGACCTCCCAGACAGCATCATCGAACCTGTGGTGGAAATTGTGCATGCAGCACAGGAAAGGCGATATGTGGATGCGAACGACGGATACCTACGACTCAGTATTGGCAAGGCAGCATGGCCAATCGGTGTCACCATGGTGGGTATTCACGAGAGAAGTGCACGAGAAAAGTTGCATGAGAGCGACAAGAACGCAGCACATATTATGAGTGATGAGATTACACGAAAGTACCTGCAGAGTATCAAGAGGTGTCTCAGTTTTGCACAGACAAGATGGCCACCGACGGATCAATTGCAGCTTATGGGTTAAATTCAGTAGATACTTGTGTGTGTGTGTGTGTGTGTGTGTGTGTGTGTGTGTGTGTGTGTGTGTGTGTGTGTGTAGATGATGAAACCATCAATTCTTCACTCTACTTCCTCATAGTATGGTTTTCGCCATGTGCTGTCTATATTCTGAGCATTTAAAATTTCAAACTACAGACGATGACGTACCTGGGGAGGACGTGAAGCGCTGCCTCCTCGCGTGAGCACGTGCGGGGCAATTGGCAGAACTTGACAGCGTCCAATCGTCGTGCATCTCCACTTTTACTATCAACACTCCCATCATCTTTCTTCTTCGCCTTCAACTAGAAAATTCAAGTCAGTCTTCTCTTGAATTGCTATTGTCGCCATGCACGAAATCGTCACTTTACAATTCGGCACGCAAAGCAATTATCTGGGAACGCACTTTTGGAACACTCAGGCAAGTACAGAATTTCAGTGGCCTGTCACGGTTCAATACATTCATTTTTTATTGAAGTTACACATTCTTTTCTGAATGTGTTGCGAATGTCTTGTGGAGAAACGTTGCTCTCAAATGTCCCACCAATACTTCATTCATGCACTTCGCAACATTCATGCAAAGACTCATTAAACTTTTGACAGAGTGCGATATACCCAGCTTTTCTGACTTGTTGACAGGAGTCGTACTTTACATACCCTCCAGAAGATGAGTCGCCCGTCAATCATGACATTCTCTTCAGACCTGGCATGGCTCCAGACGGGTCAGACACCTTTACTCCAAGAACCCTGATATACGATCTCAAGGGTGCTTTTGGAAGTATGCGGAAAATCAATGCACTGTACGAGGCTGAAGATGACCGGAGCATTCTGGACCAACCCGGTGTTTGGCCTTCCAAACCCATTGTCCAACGCGCATCCGAGACCATCCCGCAATCAGCCTACCAAGAGCATCTTGATGCTGGTCTCGAGCCACCGCCACTCAGCACATCCTCAGTTCGGTATTGGTCTGATTACAGCCGCGTCTACTACCACCCCAAGTCCATCGTCCAGTTGTCAGAGTTTGATGTCAACGATAAGCTCATGCCTTTTGAAAACTGGGATGTTGGTATGGAGCTTTTCGAGAAGCTCGAAAGAGAAGTCGATTTGGTTGATCGAGATCTTCGTCCATTTGTCGAGGAATGCGACGGAATCCAAGGGTTACAGATTTTTACTGGCGTAGATGATGCTTGGGGTGGTTGGACTTCCGGATGGCTCGAAAGACTGAGAGATGAGTATGGGAAAATGAGCATCTGGACTTGGGGTCTTGGTGATCATGGTGCTAATAACAAAACTCCGAGGGTATAGCGCTTACCATGGATTGTTTTTACATCACTGACAGCATTAGGAACAACGGCTAAAGCAGATTGCCAACTCAGCTCGGTCACTTCAGGTCCTTGGCGAACAGTCCTCGGTTTACGTACCAATATCGAACACGCCAGCTAAAGTCCCAAGTTATCTGAAATACGACTCAACATCCCCGTGGCATGTAGCAGCCTTGCAGGTTGTGGGCATAGAAAGCATGACTATTTCCTCTCGATTACGTACCACGTTGGGCGGACGAGGTACACTTCAAGACCTAGAAGACACCATCAACAGTACTGGAAAACGACGTATAGCAAAGTTTGAGATGAGCATTGCGGACCCAAATGGCCTCTCAGACAAGGCTGCCGATATAGCTGAATCTATGGCAAAGCTTGGAACAACGCGATCAAGGCAGACCAGCGAAGGTGACGATGAACTAACGGAGTTTGATATCGATGTTTTCACTCGCGATTACCGGACCGCTACTGGAAAAGGAAAGAAAGAGCATGTATTCGGAAGGGCAGAGGCTTCTCGCGGAGAGTGGTCGTTATCCGATGATGGCGAGAATGACCCTCATGACAGGTTCAATAACGGACCGGTAGTGCAGAGGTATGTTCAGTGTTTCTTTCTGATGAACATTCTTGCCTTTTTGTGGTTGTTCAATCTGTATATGGTCCTGAACACACGACGCTGTACTCTACATGCACTTACAACGGCTAGATACACTGCTCCTCTTCTTTTCCCCTTACTCGACAGCTTCCCCAAGTCCATGTTCGAAGTAGGATCGGGGCATACTGAGAAGCTTGCTGTTCATGCTGGGCTCACAACAAGTACGGCTGTCGCAGGACAGATACGGACACTTGAGCCGATCATAAAGCGCATGATTAACATTGAAGAAAGAGAGGCGCTCTCTAATGGCCTTCAAGTTCTTGCAGAAGAGTACGATGAAGGCTGGGATAGTGGTTCAGATAGCGACGACGATGAATAATCGGGTCGTATGTCTATGCTTTGAATGCCTTCTTTCTACGAATGTTATGCTGTACACATACTTTTTCTATGGATAGTACTTTTTAGCATAAAGTACGCAGTGACAATCACGAGTCAGCCGACTTCATTATCGGTGACGGCTCATGCTCGCTGTACCCATCACGAAGTGTATGCCGTCTCTGTTTATGCTATACTTTGCGCATGCATACCAACCTTCACATCAACCCACATTTCGCACCGACATCAGTGTGCACATCCTTATCCTAGAAAACAGGTGATCCCCTTACAACCAAGGATCATACGAGGCAAAAAGAAAGACCGCCTTTCTACCACCCACTCATACAACGAAACCCCCCCTCCCCCCCCTAGCACTTTGCTGACCGTGCTTGGCAGAATGTATGTAAGTAGACAGTTTAATTTTATAAATGTTCCCACTATTCACCAACACAACCCTCTTCCCTGTAACCATTTCCAGCCCACGAGGGGACGCTGTTCTACCCCTTGACCGGACGAAAAAAATGTCTGGGGTGGGTCGTTCCTTTGGCGAGTTGAGCGTATCATTTCTGATTAAGAACTGCAGACCTTGTTCGGAAATCCGGGGTTACCAAAGGGGGGGGGGTGGGACTCTCGTTACAGTATTCCGTAATGCTTACTCTATTCATTGCGATCGTCTTGGCAATCAACAAGCTTTGTGAGAAGAAAAAGGTTTATCGAACCAGGGCTTTCCCCCATTCGCGCGCATGTATGTGTGTGGGTGGGTGGGTGAGTGTATGCTCTCGGTGGTTTGCTTTTATGAGACGCGTGTCTCCCTTGTGGCCTTGCCCCCCCCTTTTTTTTTCTACAGTCAAACTGGTCGCCCAGATCGTGGCTGGGGGTGCCCTATTTACTCCTGAAGAAGGAAGAAAGAAAACAGGGTCCATGTTGTCGTATTTGGTAATTAACATGTTGGTACCGTTTGGATTGGGGCTGGTTAAAGAGGATAACTGCTGTGATCGACTCCACACACTCTTTCTCAGCTTGTCCAAAGTGAAGATAGGGAGATGGGCTCGCTATGCTATGCGTGATGTGCAACATGGAGGGATTACTCGGCCCAAAGCTCGGCCTGCCCTGGGGAGAAGGGGGACAGGGCGGCAAGCATATGTGGACATCCCGGACCTTAACCCAATACAGCCGGACAACCGTTGCTCCGCTAAACTCGTTCCGTCCCCCCTATTTCCTTATTTGGACCTAAGCGCTCGACTGTCCGGGATGATGCTGCCAAGGCCAATTTCAACGGTCAATGGCGATACTGTGTTCGATGCCCTACTTTTGTGTTGCCTAATCCGGTAGGTTGACCATACTACGTCATACCACGACACAATGCGAAAAGCAAACCCTATCATGACGCTTCAGAAAGGCCGAAGAGTCCATGGCCTACGCAACTTGTTCTCCACAATGATGTTGCGGGTGCAGCCAAAGCCTGGAACCCCATGTACATACCATGTACACGTAGGTGCAAATACTTTTTCTTCTTCTTCACTGTTTGCTGCTATGTATACGTCCGCATCAGCGCCTGGTGCACTTGAAATCTCCCAATTCACAAACTTCATGATTGATTGATTCCACATCCACCAACCAACCTTGTCTTTCCAACACGTGAAAATCACCAATCACATCTACGCTAAAACTATGAACTCACCAAACACAATCCCCACAGCAACAAGCGGATCCCGCTCCAAACTCCTATCCGGGAACTTGAAATCCTTCCTCAGCAAACCCGCGCTCAAACACCCCCAACAAGCCCTCACCGTGCAACTCTTCAACGCAGAGCAGAAAGCCAACGGCGACGCTACTGCGCCGCCGAGATTAGTACCTGGTCAGCAGCAACAGCATAGTAACCAACATATCGACGACGCGGCCAAGGAGTAAGCGTCGTCTACTTGCAATGCCGTGAGGCGCAGCAATGTTTTCGAGTCTATACAGACGAGAGCGATGGACGAGAGTTGGTGTGAAGGGAAGGTGGGGGGGGGGGAATATCCGAGCAAAAAAAAAGGAGTTATCCCGCGACAACGACAATGCCCGGATGATCTACTTTGGTTCGAAAATAAAGCTAGGCCCTGGATGTTGTGGATTAGTATACCCAAGATAGCGCTACAATTACAGGTACTTTTTGAGGTTGAGGTTNGGGGATATGGAAGTTATGCGGGGTAGAGGATTAGACGGATACGTTGGGGGGTGGGGGTGGGAGTTGGGGTTTGAAGAAGTGTTAGGTCGATGATGTTAGTCAAGTACATGGGATGCGGATGAGATGAAAAAGGTTATGGGGTGTCTACCGAGGGGATTTCAATGTTTGTGTAAAGAAACACAGTCAAGACGATTTAACGCGTAGTTACATGATAATAAAGTCATAAGTTTTCTTAGCCGACATCAACTTTTTGTTTTTTTTTGGTCATCTCCAACAAAAAAAAAAGTCCCCCCCCCCGCGCCGACTATCTCATCATGAGAAGAGATGCAATCCATGGAATTTTGTATGGGAATTGCCCCTTAAACAAAGACCAAACATCCATCCCGATTGCTAATCCTCTCGTCAAGATTAATCTCCCTGAGCCTCCACTCGCCACGACTCTCGAGCTCAGCTTCGAGTCTCTGCCCGCCACCAACCAACCTCACATTGCGCGCCGACGACGCAAAGCCGCCGGAGCTACCACCACCACCTCCGGTTGGAATCCTCAAGTTCTGGCCTGGCCAAATCTGATCGGGGTTGGCAATGTTGTTGTGGCGTGCGAGCTCCTCGAACGAGCAGTGCGAGTAGCGCGAGGCAATAGCCCGTAGAGTGTCGCCTTGCTGGACAGTGTATGTGTTTTCGCTGCCGGAGCTGCGGTCGGTGGACGAGCCGGACCAGCGGAAGGAACCGTCGTCGTTGGCGAGGTAGCGGTTCAGCGGGATGGACGAGGCTTGGACAGAGCCGTCGGCACGGCGGCACTGGGCGTGCAGGACGTAGTCGCCGTGGGCGTCGAGACGGATGTCTTGGGACGAGGCGGAGAAGTTGCCGCCAAAGTCGCCGGCGGAGCGTTGTTGGTCGTGCGAGGAGTGGGATTGACCATGTGCGAAGCCAGCGCCAGCGGCAGCGGCGCCTCCTCCGCCGTATTTACGACGGCGTTCTTCTTCTTCCTCCCAGCGGCGTCGGTCTTCCTCTTCCTTCTTCTTTTCCTTGTGCTCGTCCCATCGCTCGCCGACGGCGTCTTGGGTCTTGGAGCCGGCAAAGGCACCGGCGAGGGCTCCTACAATGGCGCCAGCGGTACCGTGACCGGATTTGCCGCCTAGTGCGTGGCCGCCGTAGCCTCCTGCTGCTGCACCAGCGAGACCGCCCATGATACCACGCTCACCCTCTGGGTCACCTTCTCCGCCAAACTGGTTCTGGTAGCCTTGGTTGTGCGAGTTGCGGCCCGAGTTGGATGAGTGCGAGGCGGTAGAGGGGTACTGCTGGTACTGAGGAGGTGCAGAGGAATCGTATTCGCCTTGTGGTGGATATCCGCCCTGCTGTGGGTATCCGCCCTGTTGTGGGGGATAGCCTTGAGGTGGTGGTCCTCCCTGTCCACCACCGCCGTAGTACTGGCTGGCTTCTCCTCCCTGGTAAGGAGGCTGTTGCCCGTATCCTCCGCCCCCACCTTGGTTGTATCCGTATCCAGACATGATTCTTGATTTCTTTTTGCTTTACGTTCTCGTCTCCGATCTCGTACCCAAAGTCCTTCTTTCTTCTCAATCGAAAACCGGGTTACCGGAACAATGAAACGGGCGGTAGTATGTGAACCGTTGAATTGGTTTCACTGGGAGAAGTGAAAGTTAATCGTAGATGCGTCTGACCTTGTCTTCGTCAATGAGCAAGGAAAAGAGAGTTTACAAAGTAGATGTGCACACTGTATCTGAGAAGAAGGAAATCAACTTCACACGTGTCTCCCTGCCAGATGGCCCTCTCTCTTATATGCCCACGTAACAAGATACCAAACTCACCCTTCCTTCTACCCCACCCAACCAAACCTTCCAAAGCACACCATGGCTACGTCGTCCGACACATAAACGCGCCCCACCACCACAGCCACACCGGGTCCGTCGTCGTCAGTCACCGCCACTCTTGGCCAAGCTAAACCGCATAAAGGCGGGGTCTCGCATCACTCACAGTCGAAACGCGAGAAAGCCCAGAAAGCCCAACGCCACTGCTTGCGCCTCCATTATCCAATCGCGCGACTGCAAGTGGGGGGGTCGCTAAATCGGGGGCGCAGCGCCACGAACGGCTGACCGCCACGTTTTGCGGCGTTCCGGCACTCCGGCACAATTTGTTGACGTGCTTTTGCTTTCTTCGCCTTCTTTTTCCTTTGCTACCACTAATCGGTAACTTACCTACATCTAGCTAATCAGTGGGCGGTTTCATTCGGCAAACGCCGGACGCCCAGTTTAAGTTTGTTAGAAAGGTTCACCCGTTATACTAAAACCCACAATACACAAGCGGTGAAGTAGAGACACCGGATCTTTGTTGAGGCGGTGTTTTGTTGTATGCATTAATGCCGGAGTTTAGAGTGTGCCGTGCGCCCCGGGGGTGTGTGTCATGTGCGACGGACCGGGGGGGTGATGCGCTTTCAAGGGTTTTCCATGGTGATGTTTATAAGTAGTAGCTTGTTGGTATTATTAAAAAAAAGGGGACAGAGATGAAGCCGAGGTTTTGCCATCGATTTTGGGAGTTCACCAATCCGATACGATCCGTTGTTTTTCGGTCACACATCAGGTATATTGGTTTACACTAACTATACATTACACTGTACATGTTTTGCGCAAGAAGAATACACTACGTACCACGCGCATTGTTGAATGCGATTGCAAGGGGGAACTGACTTTTTTTTTTTTGTGGAATGAGATTGTTTTGTTGGAATTAGATCCTCGTGTCTAGTCTAGATTCTTCTTCGCAACCCTGTATTTTCATGCAGAAAAAGGGCGCCATAAAGACTGACTAAGTGAAAAAAAACAATAAGAGGAAGAAACGCCCAAATGATGCAAGTTTTTGCGCTTGTAGATGTAACGATGATCAAGAAATTCAAGGAGAGACATGACAGCGTTAGTGCGTGTGGGTGGAAAACAGGATGAATGATTATGAAGGAGGTGTATGTACAGAAAAGAAAGGAATATAAAAGGACAAAAGAGTAACCCCGAGAGTTATGGAAGAAGGAAAAAGAGTTTATGTGTTTTGATATAGATACAGGCAGTCGACTGTGTCGATGTTGAGGGTGAGCTCGCGCATTGTTGTTTGGCTTGCCCATGGTCGTGCTAGCCTTGCGTATCAAGCTAGTGCGGCGCCAGTTTGGGTCGGCGTCGGGCCTAGGAGGTGCGGATGCAACCAAGCGATTGCCTGGATTGCATTTGTAAGAGTAGGCCAGCGAAGTGATGTAATGAGCGGTTTCTCAAAAGACGACATGTGACATGATTAGACGTGCAATACAACGCTTCAATACGTAAAGGCTTCCTCTATGAAATCAACCGAACCCTCGGTAAGCAGTGGGCGCACTGCATGTCGTACACCGTCGGCCATGCCGCCAGACGCGCACACGGTCACGGCCATGGCACCAACGCGGTGCTTGGCCTCCTCCTCCAACAAGCTCCTCATGTTGGGCCTGCCGCTGTACATCTTGACAGTGTCGCTACTGCTCTCGACACGGCCCTTTGGTCTGGAGATGAAGAGCTTGATGCGGAGACACTGCTTGCGACCCTTCATGCGGAGGACTTCGTCCATCCATGGGCGCACCCACTCCAGGCAGTCGGGCGTGGGTACTGTCCAGATGAGGACAATCTTTTGCGTGGCAGTGGTGCCGTTGTTGAAGCCATTGACTAGATGCTTGAGGTACATGACCTGGTGGGTGATGCCTACACCTCCGGCAAACAGTACACAAGTACCGTACGAGTCAAGACTGTGGTGACCACCGTATGGGCCTTCAATGAAGCCCCATGTGGTGAATTGCTCGTTGGGGCTTTTGCTTGCCTTTTCATACATTTGACGGGTGAGTCCGGTACGGGCACGGCAGATGAGACTGATTTGTTTTGATTTCCTGGGTTGGCCATTGATCATGGTGACGTCGCCTTCCAGAGTGGGAAGCGTCATCTCTTTGGAGTCGTCGGTCAGGGTCGCAGCCCAGGCGACGGAAAATGGATGCGAGGACCAGAGGGAGAGGCGAGGCATCCACATGTGCACGTGACATCCGGGACGGGGGGTCCATTCGCGGACCATGTTGATGGTTAGACGGACAGCTTCGCCAGGCAAGGCCTCGACGGTGATGGAAGAGCGTTGCTTCAGGCTGAAGCCGTAGTAGCAGATGGAGCACAGGCGGAGGAACCACTCAGCCGCCCAGAAGATGAAGATGAGGTACATCCATGGGACCTGGGGCAGAGCGTGCAGCTCCAGGTGCTTGTACAAGCCGAGGAGAGCAGCAATGACCATGACGCGGTGGATGTTGAGAAAGGTCTCGTAAAAGGCGTGACGGAATGGGGACCAGGCCTGGATGCCGATGAAGGTGAAGGCGACAGTTCCGACCATGCCCCATCCGTAAGAGCCCTCGGTGTGGAGGGCAGCTACGACGGCGTGCCATCCACCGCCAGCCTTGGTGTTGTACAACCAAGCGGCAGTGTGGACAATGGCCTCGGCAATGGTGATTCGGGCAGCCCAGCGGTGGAAAAGGTTGAAGTCGTCGTACGAGACCTGGAGAAGGGAGATGAGGGGGTTGTTGCGGAGGGCGAAGAGGATGGTGGGGATGAGGTTGAGGGCGGCGAGGGTTCCAGAGCGTCCACGAAGGGCGGCGAGCGTCTCCCTGTGGTCGAGGACGTCGTAGGGGAGGGCAAGGCACCATGCAACGTTGAGGCCGACGTAGATGAGGAGCATGATGGTGTGCCATCTTCCAGGGAGGGTTCCGTTGTCAATCGCGCTGCTGATCTGGAACTGGGCGTTGTGCTTCTTCTTCCAGAGCGGGGCGACGAGGATGTGGCGGTTGAGCCAGGGCCACCAGCTTGTTCGGTTGGTCTCCCAGTACTTTTGCCTTGGGCTTCCCATTGCGGTGATGTGCCGGCTGTGCTTCCAGACCATGTTGGAGATGCGGAGCATGAGGAGCATGCCAGAGATGCCAATGAGCATGTAGAGAAAGGTGTCGACCCACAAGAAGTTGCCGACTTGGTCGACACCAGTGAGGCCGTACGAGTACTTGAGCTCCTCAAACTGGGCGGCATTCCAGTTGGAGAGGAGGTGACGCTTGGCAGCGGGTGCCTCCCGCGAGCGCAGCAGGCCGGAGAGAGACATGCTGGCGGGTGCTAAAGGGGGGAATTGGGCGATGGGCGAGTATTGAGGCGCGCTACCAGGTGCTCCTGAGTGAGGGCCGGTGCAGTTGATGTTGTTGTGAATGTAGTCGCTGTGTAGCCAGGTGGTCCCACGGGCGCTTCGGAGTCGAGAGGCGAAGCGATGGGCGTTGGCGGAGTGAGAGGACAGGCGTGGTCACAGGAAATGCATTACAAATGGTAGTGGGCGGGCAGCAGTCGTGTGTGCACAATGGAGTCAGAGGGGCGGGGGTGGCCTGCACAGTATCGGGCGTGAATGAACGAGGGAGGGAGTGTTGTGTGTTGAAATGATTGATGGTCGCCAGGGCGCGGCTGGGGTGAATGGGCTTGGGATGGTGTGACGGGCGGCGGGGGGTGGGTGAAGTTTAAGCAGGCAGCAGGCGGGCAGGGAGCGTGTTTTTTGGTTCCCGTAGCGAGTGAGGAACAGTGGAAACGAATGTGGGCAGAGAGCCAGACAGCAGGGACGGCGAGCGTGAGGTCGGAGAGGGAGCGAGGGAAACAGTGGATATGAGGTTCGCGCGAGGGGGTGGCCTGGCCGGCAGCGACCAGGGGGGGCGCCAGGGCCAGGCGGACGATTGGCTTGGGCTGGTCCGACCAGCTGCTAGCGGGTGAAACGGGGCGGCGGAGGCTGCGAATGCTGGCCACTCAGGCCCGCGTGCCTGGAAGCGCCATGAAACCAAGGCCCCTCAGCCCACCCTCGCCAGACTGCCCATCCATCCTATCATCCCCATCCCACTCGGCACCGCCGCCCAGCCTGCACACGCCCACCACAGACGTGCCGGCTGCCGGCCCTGCGCTGTGCTTCGGATTCGACTGCACACGCTGCATCCATCCATGCCCGCCCTCGCCTGCCTGTGCCAATCACGCCGCGGTGCCTGGCGATCCACACACGCAGACGCCGCGCCACAGACACCAGCTGCCCACGGCCACCACGGCCACGAGAATGCAAATGGCCGCTGTGCTCATGATGCTTGCGGCCATGTACGTACCGATGATGCCAATGACGATGCCATGATGGGCCGACGCGCCATGCACGATGCGCGACGCCGCGAGCAAACACCATGGTTCCCTCTCTCCAACTCTCTTTCCCTCTCGCCCGCACTATCGCCCGCCACACCCGCCTGTCTCGTCCCTCTTTCGCGCCCTCTCTGCAGGAACTGTGCAGGCCCCGACGCCATGCCCGGCCGATGACATGTGCGGCTCTAGCCTGCCCCCAAACCGTCGTCCAAGCGAGTCAACTTCATCACGCATCCCGGCAGAGATCGCACTCATCTGTTCAGGTAAAACGGCTTTGATGCACCCCTGGGTTCATTTTGACATGTTCCTCACGCTGCCGAGGCCGTCGTCGTCCATGTCGCGTGCAAAATCTCCACCATGGCGCGAACCGCCAGCGGGCGTGCTGACAGCTATTCACACGCCCAGTGCACTACCAAGGCCGAGAGCCGGCGCTGGGCACGACTCTATGCATTTGCCCTGTGCAAGACGGCAGCCAGGCCAGCAACCCGGCCAGCAGGCCAGCAACCACGCCAGCAGCCTGCGCCACGCACCTACACGGCCACGCCTACGTAGGAGCTACTACTAGCATACCAGCATACCTGCACCACTCAACAGCCCTCGTCCCTACTTGCCACGAGGCGCCGTCGCCGCCCTATGCTTACTACCCTGCGGCGCTGCATTCTCTTGCTGCTAGTGTATACGCTCTTCATGCATACCACAGTCAACCAATGCGCGCGCTTGGTTCGCAGCGGCACGGTCGCCCCTGCCACAATTCCCCCCCACCCCACCCGCACGTGCTTGTGCTTGTCACAACCCACTGCCCTCTCTGGCCGCTCACCCACGCCCCCTTCGCCGCCACACTGGCCGCCCGGTCTCGACGGGCCAACGCCCTCTTTTCGTGAATCGCCCTTCTCGACGGACAGCATGGCCAATCTGGGGGAAATTGTCCCCTTGTCTACCCAGCACTCGGGTCCGACCTATTTGCTTCTGCCGTTCAACCTCGGAATACCAAGTCTTCTAGGCAATAAACCTACAAGATTACCTCCATACTAGCCACAATCTAGCTCATCCTCACACCCACACCCCAAGCGAAACAAAACAAAGCAAAAACATGTCCTGCTGACTGTCCGCTCTTCTGCCCGTCTGGCTGCATCCATGCGGCCATCGCGTCCCGCTTGCGCCGCTTGCCTCAACTGCATCGCTTGACCGTGGTGCTTGCTTCGGTGTGAGCCAGTTTCAAAACACCAGCGCCGGAGTGTCGCTCTCCTTCTGCCGCGACTCGGCTCACTTCACGATAACGTTGAAACGTTTGTTCATGCGCCGCCTGCTTGGGCCCCACCCGCTGTCAAACAATAGTGTGTGCCCTGCCAGGCGGCATAACGCTTCTGGTAGTCCTCCACAAGCCATGCTTCAGCTCGTCGACATTTGCCAAAATTCGACGCAGTAACTGGAAAAAATGGAATAGTCGTCGAATCCTTCACATTGCGGTTCCACCTATGTCATTTCCGCCAGACCTTGGGACCCGCTCACGTCTCGGTTCTTCAATGCATGGTTTTAGAGTGTGGCGCTTCCTCCGCCATGCGCTATCATTTGGTGTAACACATTGACAGCGACACGCTTCCATGTCCAAGGGCATCCTCACTCCAAATCTAGCACAAAGCTTATTGCAGCACATGCTCTTGTGTACACTACTACGTAAGCATTGTCCGCATGCCGGCTTTAATGCCTTACAATCACTGTTAGCTGCGACATCACCACTATCGTCATCGTCACCGCCATCTCCCTCCACCCTACTCCATCGCGCATAACACGAAGCTTCGATTCACAGTACATACGCCTGTGCCTGCACTGATCCCCCGATGCGAGACCACGACCCAGACAATCACTCTGCCTGGGACCGGGCGTATGAGCTTGCCGAGAAAACTCCAAGCCACACAGCCCTCCCAGGTCCCCACGATCAAATGATACGTATCCGCAGTGACACCCGTTGGCGTCCCAGTCGGTCATCGAACCGACCGACCTGAAATCTGGCCCGCTCTCGCCCTTCACTAACTGATTTTTGCAAAGGAAAAAAACCTAAAAAAGCCCACCGACTCTCCGGGCCTGTTTTCCACATGAAACCACTAACTTCAGCTCCACCAATCTCCGTCCTTGGCACCCAACCGCCTGGAGGAACCTTCCATACATGAAACACTTTTGCAATCTCTACACCGTGTACCAACACGCATCAAGCTTTTTTGCCCTTCAGCTTGTCATGCTGTCGTGTGTAGATTGCCAAGCCAATTATGAACATCACAAGCAGCTAACCAACATTACAAGATTGGTGTCAATATACATCCCGTCTTGGTAAACCACATATGTGCTTTCAATCTTTTTTTTCTTCCTTCTCCGCCTTTTTCTTGAATTTCTCTGCAAATCTTTCGTTCGCTTAATACTACTATTACATCCTTGCTGTCGACCGTTGGGCGACTATCTTCCGAACATTCTAGATCTTATAGTCCAAGGAAAAATATTAATTCAAGACGGGTTCTCCCTTCCTTATCCCGTCCGCCTGGTTCGCGGCTGAAACGTGGGAACAGCACAATTAACTTGGCGCCTAAATTGTCATGAGATGCGTAGATATTGCGTGCGACAGAGACACTTATCTCGTCCAGTCACGTTAGTATCATGTGAGAAGGATGCAATGGCAATGGGATAACATATCTACATACGTCCGTATGTACCTACACTTTTCGAGCCACACCCTGCTGACTGAGGGCGTTGTCATGTTTCGTATCCACCGAGATGCTTCTGTGCCGTCCCGTGTCATCATTCCTTTGGCTCTTTTCGCTATACGCCCAGCCACGTGCACACCACCTATCCCCCCCGCCCTTCACCGCTCTCTCTTTTTTTGCTCAACACCTTGATTCATGCAACTCCCAGTCTAATATCACGAGATACCCTTCTGCCCCCTACGTTATCAAACAACACCTATGTATAGCGAGATGTAGATTTGAAATCTCCAGATTTAAATCACACACAAACAAGTGAAAAGTCTTGGAAGGGGAAGGGGGGGGGGTTAACCTTCCCAAACTAGAACATTGAACAACAGCTGATATGCATATTCGCTCTTCTAATTTGAAACCTGCGTATACAACGGTCTCTATGTACGAAATTTAAAAAAAAACTCACGCATATCCCGTCTACTGCGCATGGCCCGGCTGCGAAGAAGAAGCACCAGCAGCAGGTGCTCCAGCGGAGGCAGCAGCAGCGCCGCCCGCAAAATTGATCTGAGCAAGGGCATCACGTCTCCAAGCGTCGTCATCTGCACCCTCGCTGTCGGAGCTGTCACGATTTGCAACTCGGAGACCGCCACCGCCGCCGCTGCCTCCGCCTGCTCCTTGATTTCCGCCATATGACGCATTACTCGTGTACTCATCGTGTTGTTGCTGCTCGTGGATATTGCCCTCTTGCGTGTATCCGCCTGCATACGATGGGCTGTTACCATAGTACTCGCGATTATTCCACATATTGTTGTTGTTGTTAGCTTGGTCGTGCTGCTCTATGGACCCGGATGAAGGACCCGGCCGCAGCACGTCTGGCACGGGGCCGCTGAGTCTGCTCCCCCCGTCTTCAGATTCGTATTGTTGTTGATGCGGATGATACGCGTTTTGATAGTTCATGGGTTCGTAGGCGCCCGTCTCGTTCATTTGGCCCTGGTTCTGCATACGCGGGTCGGCAAGGAAAGAGTGCCGGTTGTCTGTTGGTGTGCGGTCGCTAGGATCATGTAGTTCTACGCCTTGGGGTGGACCTTGTGGTGGCGTGTTGGACATGCTAAATTGGTGTTGTTGCTGGGGGTGCATGCCTTGCTGTTGAGCATACATACCCGGCTGTTGGTATTGCTGCTGTTGCTGCTGTGTAAGGGATAGATTATTCATAGTCGCTGTCATGCCCATTAGACTCGGTGCTCTTGTCGACCCGGCCTTGATACTGGCTGGGCCGCCCATTCGCCCAAGCATACTTCCAGTCATGCTAGCCCGTGGACCAGGCTCTTCCGTGATCATCATCTGGGAATCCTGTCCATTAGGATCCCGTATACTGTACTGGGCTATTGTGCGCATCTTCCGTGTGACCCATCCTGCAAGAATCTTTCCGCGTTGCTTCTCGCCCAGACGAGACCGGTGGAAGTCGCCCTTTTGCACAAACGAGACAATGTCAATGACCAGCTGATGCTCGTTCAAAATTGCATTGACAATCACAGGCACCATGCTTGCGAGGAAGTTGCGTCGGAAGATTTCCACAACGACAACAACAAGCCCACCTGCCTGGAAAACAGCACTGTAGAGTGTTAGTAAGTATTTACTAAATAACAGCGAATCGAAGAAACGTACCAGCCTCCAGGGACAATATTCCGGTGACAACGTTCAACAGACTGCTCAATGTCCATAGAGAAATGGTTCAGTCCGTTGACTTCAAAAGTGTCACCTATGCTTCCAAGCACGAAAAGCACCTGCATATCAACAGGTGCACCGTTGGGTCCAATGGGCCGTGTCACGCTGTGCAAAAATCCTAAATCGCCTGTACGAACATATCGCACATTTGGGTCTCCGTCAATCGTCCTCCCATTGAAGCGTTCTGCATCCAAGCGCTCTTTCGACATGTAGAAGCTATAAGCATTCGCCTCGGACTGCACCCAGATCTCGCCGTACTCGCCGTTCAAGCACAGTTGGTTGGTCTCTGGGTTGACAATGGATATTTGCGTGCTCACTGGCACCATGCCCGAGTCTTGGACGAGCAAAGCGTTGGGCTCTGTGTCAGGGTCAACGGGCATGACGAGGCCGCGTCGCAGAGCATGCACATCGAGATGGAGCTCGACTGGCTCAATACACATGTATGATCGTGATGCTACCATTGGGTTCAATACATGTGAGTAGACAGTGTTGATTGCGGTTGGGTCTAAGTTGGCTGGCGCAAAGTGCACACGCACTCTTTGGTCTGCATTGAGTTAGCAATCATGAAAGTCCTCTCATACAAATGTTCACTTACAAACATCAACGCGTGGTCTTCCATCAGTCGCAATCATGAGATTCTTCAGCTCGTGCAGAGCCATACTCTTACCAGCTCCGCGTGCGATGGCGTGGTCCAACATTTGACTCGTTGCATATGCATCCTTGATCTTGTACCGCGAAAGCGTTTGGAACAGAATATTAGGGTTTTGTGCAAAGTCAACAGGTGACACCAGGTATGTGGGTGCGGCAAGGAAGATTCCCATGAGACAAGTGTGAAGGAAACCAAGTCCTATCGTGCTCCGGACACAACCAAGGACTGGTCGTGTACTTGTCATTTGGCATGTTTCTTTTTGGACCTTGCACAGTGCCATGATTTGGCTATGGCCCAGCTGAACTGCGATACGACGTTGATCGGGCGTCCAGTATGTCCAGACTAGCACTGGGAAACCCGCCTGAATCCATGCCGGTCGAATTGTAAGCTTGAGGTCGCGGCAGCCACTGGATTGCTTTGGCGGCTTTGTTGTGCTGTATGTGTTTGGCACACTGATCTTGAGGATAGCGGCCGATTGTTTGATGTGCTGCGATACTTGCTTGATCTTCATCAGATGGTCAACGTCAGCGTTGACAAGAATGGCTTTGACCTTGAAATCTGCAAGGATATGCAGCAAGGCCGGCGCATCCTCATTCAACCGGTTCTGATCAATTGGCGCCATTGGTATGCAAACAGCTCCAAGCACAAAACATGCATGAACAGCATAAACAAATTCTTCTGAATGCGTGTACATCAGAAGGAGATGATCGCCGGCCTGGACCTTGACCTTGTTCTTGAGGTACATTGCTACGCCCGCAACCTTTTGATCAAACTTCTTCCAATTGACGCCTTTGCCCTCTTTTCCTCGACCGTCGACAGTGCA